TAAGAAGCATCATAATAAATCATAATTGATATTAGAAATATTAATTAACCCTAAACATGATACTTAGAAGCAATCACACATCCTAACATGATACAAGGAACCAAAAAACAATCTAAGCATGATTTTTATATCAAAAGATCAATAAAACAATTAAATTACTTATTTCGATGCCTCATACCTCTTTCTAATAACAAAATACACACGTTAGTAACTTCAAGGAAAAATAATAAATCAAAGCAATTAAATTAAATAATTGAATACAGATTTGGACCAGACCCTCAGAAATTATCAACCTTTCACGTCTAGGGCGAATGCAACTTTGAACTTGGATAGGTGTTTCTAGAACTAATGTATGAGGAATTTTGAGAGAGGGAAGGTTTAGAAAAGGAATTGAGATAGAGAAAGCTTCTAGTTTTTAGAGAGAGAATAGAGAGAGATGATTGTGAATGATCAAAAACGGGGAGATACAACCCCTATTTATAGAAAAAATCACACAAAAACGGTAGAAAAGAGTTAAAGTCCCATTTGGAATAAAAGACCTCCTGTCGCCAACGGCAGGAGCAGCGCCATACACCAAGCTCGTCGCCAGGTGATAGACATGTCGTTTGGCGCTGGAACAACTTTTTGCGGATTTTGTTTTTATCATATCTTTTGATCCAAAAGTCCAAATAAGTCATATAATATGTCGTTGGAAATCTCTTGAAGTCTACTTTCCAACCCAATTATAATCAGATTAAATATTTTTGTAAATAAAAAGATATGACCGAAATAGTGGAAGGGTGTTTTGGATAGAGTTTCGCATTCCATTCATATCTTTTTCGTTATAGCTCGAAATTAATATTATAATATATCATTGGAAAGATAATTTCAAGATCTATCCAAAAATATAATATATAGATAAAGATTATAAGGAAAAAGAATAATATCTGACTGTCTTTGAACATTTTTAAATTCGAATATAATTAGGATTTAAAAAAAACGAAAGTTTTATTCAATTTCAAACTCTTTAATTTTATATTTTCAAAAAGTATAATTAAGATCTTTTAGAAACTTATAGAAGATTCTAATAAATCCTAATTATTTTAGGAATAGTATTAAACCTTTGGACCATCCACATGATCATTGGATCGTAGGTAAAATCCGATTTGGGCCTAATTTAGTATTTTGGACATAAGTTCCTCATTATTCATCGGAATTTGGCTTACAATATATCGTTGGAAAGGTCTTTTCAAGCCCCATCCAACTACACTCTTATTGGACCCATATCATGGACCAAAATAAACTGTAATGCACGTTTTTCATAAATAGGGTAAGAAAAGAAATATTTTCAAAAACAGAAAAAAGAAATATTTTAATAAAAACATCCTCATCACTAGACTTTTCACACTTTCGATTTGTTCAATAATCAAATGACATGAAAGGTATTCATCATTGGGTTTGGTTTTGGGGGACACATTTGGGTATCTACACTTTTCCTTCGTTATTTATTATTATATCATATACTCTTTCTCTGTCCTTTTCTCTCAGTCATATTCGCTATTTATCACTCTCTTTATTTCTCTTCCAACCCCCTTGCATTTCTCCTATCCCTATATCTTTTTTAGCCTCTCTCTATCTTTTTTCTTTCCTTCATGACTCATATTTCTATCTCTCCCATTTTTTCTAACTTTTTTTTTTCTCCCGGCCTTTATCCCTTCTTCTAGCCTACCCCTTATCTCTTTTGAACTAGTATCTCTATCTTTAGGCCTGCCCTATCTCTTAGCCCCTTTTTGTTTCTCTCTTAAAACCCTTCGCTTTCATAGTTCCCTTTCTCTCTCATGATGATTCTTTCTATTTTGGCCCTTCTTTCTTTACCTTCCTTTCCCTTTCTCTCCTTTTCTCCTTCCTCTCCTCCTCTATCTTAAGTAACACCTGACCAACTAACCTTGAACTAAGTAATTCTTCAAGTAACCCTGAATGAACCCTCAAGTAGCCACTGACACTCTTTAAGTAATTCTGACCAAATTACTCAAGTAACCCTTGTCCGAACTTCTTAAATAACCCCTTACCTAGTAACTCGAGTAACCCTTGACCGAGTAACTCACATAACCCATGACCGAGTAACTCCTCGAGTAATCCTTGACCGAGTAATTATTCGAGTAACCCCTAATCAAGTAATCCCTCACGCAACCCTTAACCGAGTGAACCTCTCGAGTAACCCCGATTCGAACCCCACAAGTAACCCTTGACCAAGTAACTCGAGTAACCCCTAATTCCATAACTCGGATAACCCTTAACAAAAAAACTTGGGTAACCTCCGCTACAAGGTGTGGCTTGTTGCACCAATAAGTTGTTGTGTGATAATATATGTTGTGATAAAATTGAGTTCAAATAAGTGAGAAAAGATAAAACAATAATAAAAAATTATAGGTCGCACTTATTCCCTTTCTCTCTCTCCCTCGAGCCTTCTCCTTCGTTCTTTATTATTATATCAAATGCTCTTTCTCTATCGTTTTATCTCAGTCATATTCTCTATTTATTACTTTCTTTATTTCTCTTCCAACCCCCTTGCATTTCTCCTGTCCCTATATCTTTTTTTAGCCTCTCTCTATCTCATCCTCTTTCATTCATAACCCATATTTCTATCTCTCTCATTTTTTCTAAAACTTTTTTTCTCCCGGCCTTTATCCCTTCTTTTAGCCTATCCCTTATCTTTTTGAACTGGTATCTCTATCTTTCGGCTTGCCCTATTGTAGTGAATATTTCAAGCCATCCCACACTTGAGCCCCATTTTTATCATACACTTAAGCATGGTGGCGTCCAAAGGGAAGGAAGCTAAAGTAAAAGAGTTTCCAACAAGTTTTAGAAAGTTCTCTGGGTGAAGGTTACATCCCTTAACAATCCAGGAGATCATTAACTCCAATAGGTCTGGAACAATGACTGGAAGTTCGGGGATGAAGGTAAAAATCCAACCTAAAAGAGATTGAACTTGCCCTAAAAATAGGCCTCTACTTTATTCTTCTCGTATTCATGTGCGCTTTCTGACTAACATGCAATCAATAGGTTAACCCTAAACCTGTTTAACTATTTTGGTTGAATATTAATGCACAAATAATGCTGTTATTGGCGATCACTTGAATTATAATCACATTAACCTAAGCAAGATTATTAATTTTCTTATTAAGCGTGATTACAAGTACCAATTCCCTTTAAACATGCATAAAAGGTGTCATCAAACAATAACAATAAATATATATCAAGAAACATAATAACAATCATAATAATAATCATAATCATGTTAAAGCATAATATTAATAGCAAGATCCTAGGCATGATTCTAACAAGATTAATAACAAACCCTATCATGTCACTAAACCTCAAAGATAAAAGCTTTATCCTTAACATGATACTAACATGATATAAGAAAAGAAATAGGAGGCATCATAATAATCGTACTTGATATTAGAAATCTTAGTTATTTCCCTAAACATGATACTAGGAAGCAATAAAACATCCTAACATGATACTAGGGATCAACAAAATAATTAAATTACTTACTTCGATGCCTCGTACCTCTTTTAAATAACAAAATACACACGTTAGTAACTTCAAGGAAAAGAATAAACAAACAATAAAATTTAATAATTGAAATAGGGATTTCGGACCAAACACTCAAAAATTATCAAACCTTTCACGTCTAGAGCGAAGGCAACTTCGAACTTTGAAAGGTGTTTCTAGAGCTAACGAGTGAGGAATTTTGAGAGAGGCAATGTTTAGAAAAAGAAGAGAGAGAGAAATCTTCTAGCTTTTAGAGAGAGAGAGAATAGATAATTCTGGGTGTTGATGATTTGAAAACATGGAGATACAACCACTATTTATAGAAATAATAGCACGGGATCGAAGAAAATCATATTCGGAATAAAATACTTCCTGTTGCAAACGGCAGGAGTTACCGCCAGACGAAAATTGAAATATTTTTGAAAAAAGAAAGAGAAATATTTTAATAAAAACATCCTCATCATTAGACTTTCCACACTTTCACTTCGTTTGATAATCAAATGACGTGAAAGGTATTCATCACTGGGTTTGGTTTTGGGGAGACACATTTGGGTGTCTACATAAGCCCCCACTTTGACTGAGTTAGGAGAAAATTATTTTGAAAACAAAATTCAAAGTAACGATAGGGACGGAAAATGATTCAAAATATTCTGCGATCTTAAATCATTCTTGTAACGTCGATACCTGCAAACTAGCGTTAGTTAAACAGATAAAAGAGTTAAGAAACGCGTATCTTGCTACGTCGTGCACACGTCTCTGGAGTAATCGATTTTGTGACGATCTTCCTTAAGCTAGGGGATTCCTCCTGAAGACTGCTATGCTTGCAACTGCCTCCAATTTCCGCTATGATAATCTCCCGCAAGCTAGGGAACACTATCAAAGATTGCTCTGCTTGGAACGACCTTCTACCGCTTTTTGACCATCTTCCTCAAGCTAGGGAACACGATCAAACACTACTACAAAAAGCGTGTTTTTGGACGCTTTTTAGGCCTTTTTTCGACACTAAAAAGCGTCGTAAAAATGTTTCTCCACGCTGCTAAAAAGCGTCGAGAATACGTGAGTCGAGAATTTTGAGGGACACAAAAAAGCGTCGAGAATATCGACGCTTTTATGTGTCCTAACTAATATACGAAGTGTCGGAAAATACTCATTTTGCACATTATCCCAAATTTGTGTGGTTTTTTAGCGACGCTTTTTGTTGTGTAGCATTTATTCGTGCCAGCCTATGGTATGGCGGGAAACTCTTGAAATATAAAAATTTGCAAAATAGGTAGACATTAAAAAGCGTCCAGAATTTTTTTTAAGCTTTTTTTCTTTTTTTTTCCTTTTATTAAATTATTACCACCATACATACATTATAGTTATTTAAATTTATCATAAATTAAATTAATAACATTAAAATTAAAATAAACAAATATTCTATATAACTAGATTAAAAAAAAACAATAATTAATCAACAATAATAAGAGTACGTAGTTAATACCAAATTTATAAAAGAAAACATCAACACAATTAATAATAATAAAAAAAAAATCGCATATTATAGTAGCTTGTCCCTAAATAAATACATCACTAATATAAGACTAACAACCAAAATAGATAGATGATGACCTTGTAGATGGTATAGTCTCTTATTTTGATGCTCAAGTGTCCCGGCCTATTCTCTTATTGCGCCTACATTGCCTTTTCCAATCTTCAAATAATAAAAATACAAAGTACAAATTAGTATATTACACAACATAGGCTCAAGATTCAACACGTCGTATTTAAACAACAATGAAAAGACCAATGTATTTAAACCAGAACATACACATGCTGAGAAAACTACAACTTTAAGAGCATATTAAGAACTAGTCCACTAGTGGTGGGTCTGCAGGGTCTGCTGAGTTGTCCACACCTTTCAGATTATGCTACGAAGACTGTTGCAGAAGTAGCTGATACGAGTGAGAAGGCTGCAAGTTCAAGTGGTGGGTCTGCAAGGCTTGCTGGGTTGCCCTCGGCTTGGGCACCTCCTGGAATTAGATGGTGCAAGCTAAATGTGGATGCGTACTGTATTGATAGTGTTGGCAGTGATTTTGGTGATGTGATTAGGGATAGTGCAGGAGTAGTATTGGCTGTAGGGACTTTTCAGTGTGGGGATAAATGGGAAGTGAAGGTGGTAGAAGCAAAGGCTATAAGTCGGGGTCTCAAATTGGCTTGCAGGTTGTTCAAGCATTGCGTGATCGAAGATTGGGCTCAAGTGAATTTTTTCTTATCTTAGAGGATATTTTATGCTTTTGTTCAAACTTTAATACTGTTAAATGGTGTTTTGTTAATAGGGGAAGGAATAGGGTAGCATATGAGGTGGCTCGTCTTCAACCTTGGGAGATTGGTCATCGAATGTGGTTTGATGATATCCCGACTCATATCCTCGGTGTAGCTCATTCCGATCAATGCAATTAGTCCCCTTTGTGGGTTTTTCTAAAAAAAAAGAAAAAAAAACGAACTAGTCCACAATAGAAACTAATAAAAGTCTTTGTATCAACCAAGTATAATGAAGCACCATAATTATACCATGATAAATATCAAAGCATAAGATAAAACAATTAAAATGAGTTTCAACAAGTATATAAGTTAAGATAAACGACAAAGCTAATAAAAAGGATACTCGATGCTTCTACACACACACAAGCTCTTAATTTCACACACACACACACACACACAAGCATTTTGAATTTTAGCTCTGATTTACAGCTCTAAACTTCAGATCTGAATTCAGTTCTGAAATTCAGCTTTGAATTCAGCTTTGAATTCAGTTCTGGATTTCAGCTTTAAAATCAATTTTGGATTTCAGCTCTGATTTCAAATTTGATTTTCAGTTTTGAATTCAGCCCGAAATTCTACTAGAAACTGAACGGAAAAAGTGTTAAGAAAGTTTGTTAAACTCTTAGTATTTGCATAACCAATTTTCTTCTTCATATTACATTCACCTGTTTTTTGCTTTGAACTAAATTTTCAGGTCCAATTTCAACTTGGTTTATTCGAGCAAATACTTTAAAGCTGGTTAAGAAGGTTTGAGATATCATGTTTGATCAACCGTTTAGACTTCAGAACATCAAATAATATTAATTTATCTCAAGAAAACTAGAATACCTAGCAACTTGACCACATCTATCTAGAGAGTGGAAGTCAGAATAATAATGGAAAATGCTTGTTAAAATTTAATCAAGACAACCCAATAACCACCCTACTGAACATGACTTTTGCTTACAAAGTTTTCTCCTCTATGGGAAATAATACTGGAGACTGATAACAAGTAAAAGGCAGATGACTTAGGTGAATTTAGCAATTTGTAGATGCCTCACTAGGTAGGGTGAAAGCCACAAAGATTTTAGAAAACCAAGATTCAATCTAGTTATAATCCTGTCTCATAATGGAAAGTGCAAGTTGATCTGAATTTTTATCCATTTAATAGCAGCTTATTTGATCAATTTGTAAATATAACATCTCGTTGCCATTGAAAAAGATACTACAAACCAGCAAGCATAGGAAAAGTCAAATATTTTTTCATTTTCAACATAATAATTTTGTAAGGGGTTTTAGAACTTTCATTTCTAGTAAATACATAAAACTGACATGTATTCTGTAAAGTGGTAAAAAAAAACTTACATTTATCTTGTAGCGCGGTACATCCAATGACTACACCTTAAGCTTCTTAAAGGTATTTCTTTCGACGATGAATGTTTGTCCACATATCCATGTCAAGAACATGGCTAATAGTGTGAGAGGCAACCTGGAGAAAAATTTACAATAGAGAAAAGGATCAAAGAATGTTGATTTTTACATACGGAACCAAAAACAATTAAACAAAATAAAAAATTTATCGAAAAGAGGCTATCAAACAACTCAAAAGTCATCATATTCGTGCTTCAAATGCAGAACAAAAAGCCAAATTTTCAGAATAGACATAAAATAGAAGCACAATGAACATAATAATACTTTGTATACATGTAAAAACCTTGAAATATCTACTGTCTATGAATCAAATATTTAAACAATACTAACAAAGAAATTACTAACGGGAAGGTAAAATTCATCAGGTTTATTGTAATGAGTTGACCAAAAGTAGCAACATAATTTAGACAATATTGAAAATCAAACAATCAATACCTTCATAAGATATTCACAAGTAATCTGGATCCCTCAATTTTGTAAAGAAATGCACAAAAGTCAACTAAGATATGTATGGTAATGTTTCTAGGGGGGAGAATAAGCTGAAATTGCTACTAATGTCAATATGTCAGAATACATGGTTCGGGTTATTTAGTGTATGTGTGTGTATACAAGGGATATTTTAGAAACATATTTAATGAGATGTTAATAAAAATGGCGACAGATTTTGTTTGGCATTATGGTTCTGTTTATTTCTATTCATTAATAACCTAAGATCTTAGGTATGGTTAGTGTGGTTCCGAATTATAATGAAATTTTTTCCCTATGCTGCTTTTATATGATAAATTGATAATATGATGTCAAAACTGTGATTTAAAGAACTGTATGAATTTTTACTTTTGTTGTCATGCATTTCTCTTTTATCCTCTCTAAAGTACCCATCTCATAATATTGGGAGTTTTGCTCAATTTTTTGTTGTCAATTGTGAAATTTGATTATCACCCTTTTGATAAATTGTGTTGTGTATTTTGTATCAGTCTAGGGAATTGATTAATATCACTAGGGAGTGAGAAAACATTAATTCATATGGCCAAGTGCGTTGCTGGGAACTAAAGGAAGCAAGATTTAGGCCTGTAGAAGCTGGGAGAAGTGTCAAAGTTAGAAGTTATTGCAACTAGATGCTACCCTTAAGTCCCTAAGCAGGATTCTACCAGGAAAACTACAGCACCACGTAGAAGTCTTTTCCTTGATATCATTATTGTAATGATTTTGATTTGGTCAGCAAATATCTCTATGTTTCTTCCTTTTGGGTTTAAATGATTTTAATTTGGTCAACAGAAGGGAAATTTTGCAATTAAGTTTTAGTCTTTCGAGTCCTGAATCACATTTAGCTTTTTTGTCTTCCACAGGCTTGTACAAAAACGTGAACCAAGAGTACTTGTCTGCAATTAGTCAATATCTTACTAGCATCAAAACGAGAGAGATTATGCACTATGGGGCATTTTAATATCAAATATATAAACAGGCAGAGCTTAATTGAACTAGGAACCACAACAACGGAGGTCGTAACCACTATATGAACTGTTGATTCAGTTAAAACAAAAGCAATATTTGAACAAAATTAATGAAAATCAATATAATTAAAATTATGAAGCTGAGTATTTTAGAATCTAACTATATATCTGAAACAATTCTGCAATTAAAAAAACAAACTAACATCAAGAACTCTTCTTACCTAGAAAAATGAATGTATCTCAGCTAATAGCCTAATAAGTTGAGAAATCACCAATAATAAATCACATCAAAGCAACAAAAAAGAAATAAAAAAATTCGTATCAATTTTATAAACTGCAAATCGCAAAGAGACATACATTCAGCAATATTCGCCCTTTGCTATTAGAGACTCGGCGATTCAACTCTGCTTTGATCCAACCAATAATTCTGAAAGAATGGAGTAACAAAATCAATGTCAAGTTTTACATGTCGTAAAAAAATAGATCCAAACAAATGAATTTAGCAATCCAATGAATCACTAATGTGTAAGAAAATATCTAGAAACTAAGAGATTAATTGTAAAAATAGAAATTCAACAAGATCTATAACCTAGGGTTTGAAAACGAGTAAAATTGAATAATTGCAACTTGCAAGTATCAATTAAAATCACACAAAAAATGAAAGAAGCAATTTATATCTGTATAGTATAGCTCCCGCTGAACTATCGCCCAACCCCAGGGTGCGTACTCACTGCCGAGAAAGCAATTAAAGGAGGGCTCACTAGCCAGGCAATGTCAGCCCGCATGGCTGACCAGGCTGAACTCTCCAGGAAGGAGATGGTACGCCTATAAATAGAGGATAAAGTACAACGGAAAGGGGGTAAGACAATAAAGTCATTATACTTTCTACATCTTTCTAAGTACACTTTCTCTCTCTAAACACTCTCTAACATAAGCTTCGTAAGGGTTCCTCAAGCCACCCCCGAGGACAGTTTACGTGTGCTGCCTTTTGTAGGTAGTTGATGGGACCCAGTTCACCCAGCAGAACCCTTGGATCCGCACCTGGAACAATTGGCGCTAGAAGGAGGGGAAGGATCATCTAACATGAGGTTCACCATCTGAGCTAGGGAATAGTTAACTAACCGCCATGGCCGGAGAAGAAGTTGTACAAACACACATGTCTAAAACTAATGAGACCAGCCAAACACCATAAAAAACACCCCCAGTAACCATTGATCCAAAAGGATCCACCAGAAACCCCAAATCGACCATCTCGCAGAAATCCAACCCCACCGGATCGACATCAGCTGCTGCTAAAGCGGCGGCAAAACCAGTAGATCCGGTGGGATCCAGTTTCGTTTTCAAATACGGAATGTCATTAACAGGGGCGAATAATAAGCTCATTGTTTCAGCACCTGTAACCCCGAAACCGCAGCCCGTAAATATGCCAGCCATTTTGCAGAACCTCTCTAAGTGCAGTGAGGAGCAGCTGGCTGCAATGACCGCAATCCTCACCAGTATGGGTAAGGGGGCAAGTCCGTCACCGGCAGCGGCAGCTGCGGAGCCCGTAACGAAAAAGCCGGCGTCCACGACCCTCACCCCTGAGCAGAAAGAGCTCATTCAGCTGAGGAAGAAGGTATTGGAGCTGGAAGCTCGTAACCTGAATCGAGAATGGAGCGTGGAGAAAATAGCCCCTGCTCGAATCAGTCCGGAGAAGTGGGTCCCCTGCAGCAGGTCACCAGCCTCGGAGCGGGAACCCAGCCCAGAGAGAGACAAGCGAGCGCTAATCTAGGTTGTTCTAGATGATTCCCCATTTTGCTGGGAGATTCTGGAGGAACCAATGGAGAAAATAAAGATGCCAAGCTGCAAATACAGCGGAACCACAACACCCAAAAGCCACATATCAGCTTTTGAGAACCACATGGTACTTTACACTATGACAGACTCAGTCTGGTGTAAGGCTTTCTAGCCGACCCTAGAGGGGCTGGCGGCGGAGTGGTATGGAGACATTCCCAAATGTTCCGTATACTCGTACAACCAGTTGAAGAGAATGTTCATGGAGCATTTCATAACCCTGGTAGACCGAACCAAGATGACAACCGAGCTGATGTCGTTGGTTTAAGGGAAAGACGAGCCCCTAAGGGAGTTCATCACCAGATTCAACAAGGAGGCAACAACCATCCCAAATATGAGCCAGGAGGTAGCGCTACTAGCAATGCAGAGTGGCTTACTACCGGGATCACCGTTCAGAGCATATATGGGGCGTAAGAGCCTCAAAACACTTGTTGAAGCGCTGAGCAAAGCGCACGAGTTCATCAAAGTAGACGAGACTGACAGAGTAATGCTGGGTAGGAAAGCACCTGGTAACTTAGTTAAGCGGGCAGAGGACACCCGGGCAGAGAACACGCAGGGTGGACCAGCCGAGCAGGGCTGAGCAAAACCACAGAGAAGCAGACAGAGCAGTAGGACTGAGAAGGTCAGACCCAAAGAGAGGGCCAAGGCCTGAGAGGTTTGACCAATATACCCCATTAACCCATTCCAGGTTTCATATATTCAGCGTGAACAAAGCTAATGACAAGTGGTAGAGACCCCCGAGGATGGTTAACAGAAACCGTGATACCAGTAAATGGTGTGACTTCCATAGGGACCATGGTCACACCACTGAAGAATGCACACATTTGAAGGACAACATAGAAGACTTGGTCAGGAGAGGGTACTTGAATCAGTTTAAACAGCGCGATGACCCTCCCAGAAGGAGGGATGAGGATAGAGCGGGCCGCCCTGACCGCATAGGAGGTCATAGGGGCCCAGCCGGAGACGGAGACATAGATGGCAAGCCAGAAGGCAGGGTGTATGTGATCAGCGGGGGCCCAGTACATGGGGGAACAGTCAACAGAGTGCGGGCTGACCTGCGGGCGATGATACATCAAATAAATGACAATGATAAGCGTAGATGGCCACCTCTTTCCCCGCAGCCGTAGGCCACGTTTGACGAGTATGACCAGAAGGGCATAAATTACCCCCATGATGACCCGCTGGTGGTGACAATGAGAATCGCAAACTGGGAGGTGGATAGAATGTTGATAGACGGAGGCAACACAGCCAACATCATATACATCAGTGCGTTTAACGAGCTGAAGTTGGACAGAAAATACCTGAAGAGGGTGAGCTACAAATTCACCGGGTTTAATGGATCAGGGCTTACCTCGGAAGGTATAATCGAACTCTCAGTCCGAGTAGGGGAAAGATCAAGAAGGCGTGATGTCCGGGCAGAGTTCCTCGTGATAAACTCCCCTTCACCCTACAATATGATCATGGGAAGACCGCTCATCCACAAGATAGGCGGGGTGGTATCCACCTATCACCTTGCCATGGCCTACACAACTAATGAGGGACTGTCAGCAAAGCTCAGGGGAAGTCAGAAGATAGCCCAGCAATGTTACATAACCGCTCTAAAGCATCCCGCAAAAACCAGACAACAGCCTGGTTTTGAGAGAAGGCCCGTTGAACAACCTGAGAGGAAGTCGAGGAAAAAGAAGCGTGAAGAGTATACCAGGGAAAAGGATAAGTAGAAGTTAGCAATGGAGAACTTTGAGCCTACAAAAGAGGAAATGACCAGGCCACTTCCCAGTGGGGAGCATGTCATAGTGGAGCTCACAGAAGGTGACCCCTCAAGGACGGTGAAAATAGGGAAAGACATTGTTCCCGGAGTAGGGGTACACCTCATAGAGCTCCTGAGGAAGAACAAAGACATTTTCGCATTTTCCGCAGATTAGATGCCTGGAATTGACCCACCAGTCATGGTACACAGGTTGAATGTGAAGGAGGATATTAAGCCAGTTAGGCAGAAAAAGCGAAGCTTCTCCACAGAGAAAAACCAAGCAATCCAGGAGGAGGTGGAGAAGCTCCTGGAAGCAGGATTCATTGAACCTTGTGACTACCCAGAGCGATTAGCCAACGTGGTCATGGTAAAGAAAGCAAATGTCCAGTGCAGAATGTGTGTTGATTTCACAGATCTTAATAAGGCCTGCCCGAAGGACTATTACCCGCTGCCGCGGATAGATCAGCTGGTAGACTCAACCAGCGGGCAAGCCCTGCTAAGATTCATGGACGCCTTTTCAGGGTACCATCAGAACAACCTGCATGAGCCAGACAGGTAGAATACTGAATTCATCACTAAAGGGGGAGTGTATAATTACATAGCTATGCCCTTCGGGCTGAAGAATGCTGGGGCAACTTTTCAGAAGGCAATGGATAGAGTATTCCTTCACTAGAAGGGTAGAAATGTTGAAGTATACGTTGACGACTCAATTGTTAAGAGCGTCACGCAGGCTGGACATATCATGGATCTGGAGGAAACATTTGCAACCCTGAACAAATATAAAATCAAACTCAACTCGAAGAAATGTGTCTTCGGGGTGAGCTCGGGAAAGTTCTTGGGTTTTCTGATCAGCGAGAGAAGAATAGATGCCAATCCAGAAAAGGTCGAAGCAGTCCTCAGCCTGCCTGAGCCTAAGTGCATCAAGGATATCATGCGGTTGACAGGCAGAATGGTCGCGTTGACCAGGTTCATTAGCAAGTCAGCGGATAAGGCCCTGCCTTTCTATCAGCTATTGAAAGGGAATAGAGAATTTAAGTCGGGGGCTAAAGAGAAAGAAGCCTTTGAGGGAATTAAGGAGCATCTAACTAAGCTCCCAACAATGATCAGCCCGGAGCTGAGGGTAAAGCTGCAGCTGTACATCTCTGCATCAATACAGACAACCGCAACCGTTTTACTGGTAGAAAGACAAAAGCGACAAAGGTAAATATACTTCGTGAGCCACGTGCTGACCGAGGCAGAGCAAAGGTACCCATTGGTAGTGAAGCTAGCCTTCGTAGTGGTCACAGCAGCAAGGAAGCTAAGCCATATTTTGACGCGCATGTAATAGAAGTCCTCACAAACCACCCGTTGGAGAAAGCATTACAAAAAATGGATGCATCGGGCAGACTCTTAAAATGGGCAATTGAGCTTTCTGAGTACGAATTCGAGGTCAAACCTAGAGCAACCATCAAGGCACAAGCTTTAGCATACTTCATAGTGGAAGCTTCCTACGAGGAGAAAGAAGATGATATTGGGGTCTGGAAAGTGGAAGTGGATGGGTCCTCGGCCCAAACGGGGAGTGGAGCAGGAGTCATAATGACATCTCCAGAAGGAAACGTTGATATGCTCATTTTATATAGTGTTTTACCCCCGTCCCTTGGTCGTTATTAGTAGTGTTTTTGGCTCTTTCGGGCCACTTTTATTACTAATTTGTGTGTTCTAGTGTTTTCGTAGTTTTAGTTGTATTTTACAGGAAATTGCACTCTTGGAACATTTTCCCGGGCTTTATGGATCAACTACAGAAACTAGAAGCACGTGACCACTTTTGGAGCCCAGGATCGGTGAGAGCCGGTGATTAAGGGCTCGGTAATTGGGATCCCGAGGCATTTGGACCAAGTATTCGAGACCCGAGAGGAAATCCGGATTGGGCCGAGAAATCTAGCCCAATCGAAGTCCAAGCCTCAAGGAAAAGCAATCGCCCGATCGGGCTACCTTTAGCACGATCGGGCGCGTCAGGACTATTAGGCTGAGCGTGCTGAGGCGTGCCCAATCGTGCGAGCTTCTAGCACGATCGGGCGAGGTTGCTTGGGAAGAACGCGAAGAAAAAGGCACGCCCGATCGGGCGCGCGTTTCTGGAAGACCTGATTAAGTTTAGTTTTAATTCTCGTTTTAGAAAACGTTTAAATACGTTTTTGTACGGAATTATTAGACAATCTTTTTTCTTAGACTTTTTCTCTTTACTTAGGATCTTTTCTCTCTCTTAACTCTTCTCTCAACTCTTGTTCTCGATTATTTCCATTAATACAGATTAGTTTGGTAACAATTTCTCTTCTCTTAATCTTTTTTCCCCTTATCATGACTTATTTTATTGCTTTGATTAGTTTAATTTCTACTATGTGTGAGTAGTCTATTTCTAGGGTTCATGGGGATCCATAAATAATATGAAGGGGTAGTTTATTGTTGTTAATTATCAATGCTAGATTAATTTCCTATTGATTGAGTTAATGCTCTGTGACTAGATTTGAGCAGATCTTTTATGCATGAGTTTAACAATATTGATTCGAGATTCGACAGATGAGAATTGATGTTTAGGTCTAGTTTCAATAGGCAGATTAATTTATAAATGGTTAAGTCGAGATTCAAGAGATGAGATTTAATATCTGTAAATTAATTATGTGATTGTAATACGTAGCGAAAGCCCTTTACAATCTGGTTGATTGATGCATTGATGATTGACTATTATTGATTATTGGTATTGCATGATAATTTCTTATTGAATTGTTTTAACGTTTTACAATTGCGGCTTGTAAAAGTATAGCAATATTAAATTGATGAATCGATCAGATGTTAATTTGATATTAAAGGCTATTTTCAATAAGAACTTAGATTTAATAAATTGCGAGAGCCTGTTAGATCTATGTTGATTAATAAATTGCGAGAGCCTGTTAATCGTGTTATTTATGCAATGTCAATGATTGATTACTATGTTTTACCCTGGAGTATTATTTATTGGTGAACCTATGCCCTAGATCCTTTTATTCATTGTTTTCTCCTTACTCTTAATCTTCGTAGTGTAGTTTCCTTTAATTACAATATATTGGTTACTTTATAATTTAGATTATAATAATTAATTAGGAGTAAAAAGACTTGTTTCCCTGTGGAGATCGACCTTACTTCCCTATCTACTGTAGTTAGAGGATTTAGGTATTTACTTTTTGTAAAGGTATAGGTTTAAGAGGTCAAAAGACTTGGAAAAAAAAAATTTTTGAAGACGAAGAAAAGCTAAGGAAACGACTAGGCATGGGCCCGATCGGGCGAGGTCGCCCGATCGGGCGCGCAAGCAAGGCAAATTCCAGCCTTAATTTTGCCCGATCAGGCGTGGCTTCCTGATTGGGCGCGAAAGGTGAGCTGGAATCGAGCCTTATTTTGCCCGATCGGGCGCGCAAGTTCAGTAAAAAACTCGAGCAAATTTCGCCCGATCGGGCGAGGTCGCCCGATCGGGTGCAAATCGAGTGAAGGAAAAGATATATCTGGCCGAGCTCGCCCGATTGGGCGCGCAACTTCAATTCTGGAAATTCAAATGATCCGCCCGATCGGGCGCGCCTATTTTTGGCCATCCATATACTTTTCCTCTTCTTTCTTTCCTCACTTTCTTCTTATTCCATCTTCTTCTCCATTACTTTCTCTCTCTAAAACCTCCATTTTTACATCTTCAAACTCACTTCTTTTTCAAGATCTCCTCAAATTCATCCATCAAAACCTCAAAATTTCTACATATTATTAATCCTCACATCTTCCTCTACATTTCTCACCTATTTTCTCCCACTTTCTCTCATACTTCCTTCAAACCCCTAGAGAGAGAAAGCTCCAAGCATCAAGTTTTTCCTAATATAATGGCCTCATAACGTTCAAGGACACAAAGGGGTGAGAGTTCGAGGGCACCACAACCAACGGTCAACCCGGATCTTCAAATTTCGGGATAGGAGGAGGTTGTCATTACCTAAGAGGAGCAACGGCCTAGGATGCTAAACCTTATCGATCGCCAGGTAATCTCTACCCGTTTTATTCATCATCCCACACTAGTTAGGTTAGGCCTAGATAAATATTTGGAAAAATTGTTCAAAGGTATAGGCATGAGTGGTTTCTTTCAAATGTGCCATGATACGTATGACTACTTAACATTGGAATTTATTTCAAGTTTTAATGTTATTAAAATGAATGCACTAATTACTCATGTACAATTCCGATTATTAAACAACGATGTGAGACTAACTCTTAAAGAATTCGGAAAGTTGTTTGATTTAAAATCAGATAAACCGATTGAACCCTCTTAAGACCACACCGCCGTGGTCTATAAGAGGTTAACAGGGGAGGATTTAGTTAACCTTCAGCATGCCAAAGGGAGGTGGATTCAACATCCCGTCCCGAAACTTTGGCAAAGATTTGCCGGCCTCACTATTTTTGGGAGGCATGAACCGGCAAATGTTAGGAGAGATGAATTGGAACTTTTAGCATCCTATGTAATTCCTACCGCCGAAAAATTGAACATACCCCATATGATAGCCAATCACTTCCAAAGGGCAGCCAATGCGGCCGAGGCTAGTAGGTCTAGGGCACCTATTTATTTTGGGGGGTTAGTGACCCACATTGCTAGGAAACACCTAGGTTGGAACCTAGATGGGCATAGGAAAGTTGTAGGATCAAACCTTATGGACCTACCCTATTTAGGGAGTTTGAACTGGGTGCAACCCATGGGGAGTGATACTTGGTGGATAGTCCACCGACAATCGGGTAGGAGGGATCAAGCCTTTACCTTACCTAACCCCGCCTTGACCAAATTTGAGAAGGGGAAGCCTTCTTATACTTTCCAGATTAATGGTCAAGGTGAGGTTCAACCACCTCACCCTTCACCACAACCCCACCAATCCCCCCTAGACCATTCACCACACTACCAACCACCTCAACCCTTCACCTATGGCATGCCCACTTCCT